GGCAATGGGCGGCTCCATGGGCAGTACCATCAACCCGCCAGCACTGACATGACGTCATGTCAGTGGAGTTTTCAGAACAGCCGGCTCTGAGCACACAGTTTCTAAATACGGAGATAACTAAAAAACGACTGGATGGAATTTTTTCGAACTTGGGGGGATTGTAGCGGTTTTCTATCCCTGATATGCACCCCCCTCCAGTTAACAAAGTCAGTTTTTCATGCCATGGCCCCTTTAAAAGATCATGATTTATAAACCAGTTCATTTTTACAAACGTATTTGTAAAAGCAACATAGCCACAACACTCTCATCTGCCGGTCCCAGAAGCAGTGAACTGAACTGAAACCTGAACCATTCAGCTGTGTAGCAGTTCAGGAAGTCAGAGTCACAGGATCCTCCCACCAAGCACTGAACGATTTGGTGATTCAGTGAATGAATCTTTTAAACAAATAATTTTAGTGAACTGATTATAGTGAGTCAGTACATCAAAAAGAACTGCCATGCACATCACTAGCAGCCAGCCCTGCTTTTGAACAGAGGTGCAAAGCTTATAAATTGGATAAAATATTCACCTAATTTATTGCACTCAATCATTCAGGGTGCCTGCTGCCCAAAAACAAGATGCAAACCATTGAATCATTAATTATTGAATTACTGAAGGAATGTTATGTAGTACTACACACAGGAATGGACAATCCTTATATAGCATACAGCTCAAGCAAAATTTTTAAAGCTGTCCACATTACTGACCAAAAATCCTAAACATTTATTCCTGGCAAGACTAAGGGCTCTATTTTCGAGTTCGCCCGTGAGGCGGCGGAGGGCGGTGAGCCCCGCACAGTTGTATTTTCATCTGGCGCTGCCCGGCGTACAGCCAGTTTGGTATTTTTGTGGACTGAGGCGCACGGAGGCGAACTGAGATCCGCCAAGCTGGGCGTGGTGGCGTGGCAGGGGGAGGTGTCGACAGAATCAGCGGGCGCAGTGACATTTTCGTGCTCGCCACCGGCGTGTAAAGTGCGCTGAAAGCTCGCCGATTCAAACCTGGTCAGCTTTCAGCGCATGGCGGAGCGCAGCTGGTCTAGAGGTATTTTGGTAGACCGTCACTGATGCCTCACCGTCAGGTTTCCACAGTGTCAGGCACATTTCAGTGCAATAAATAATCATCAACAACTAATAATCTGAGTCAGCACATACATTTAGATCTATATCGATATATTCTGATCTATATCTCATCTGATGAGCGCGTTTGGCACGCGATTGGACACACAACCTGACCAAATCAACACAGCTGAAATCGCATTAAATTAAATTAAATATCTAGTAAATAGACACACATGATGAAGTGAACAAGATATGTAATTCGTCTCCCTCCTTTTCTTTCTTCCTCTTCCTCTTATTTTCCTCGCACAGCTCGACCTGGACACGTCTCCGTGTCCTCTTCCTGTGTTGCTGCAGCTGAAGCGGCTGAACAGATGATTTGTTTGCGTGATCAGATGCGTTATCTACTTTAAGCCGACATACGAATATTATAATATTCAGTCTTGTGAGCCAAATTTATTTTATTTGCCAACATCTATGAAAGAAAGAGCCAGGCCAGGGAGCGCAATGCGTCATTTACGCACAGATGGTTCCGATTTTAATGCCATTTTTGGAGTTAATGTTGTGATCTGTGCGCACAACCCACCTTTGTCACGTGAGGTTTGAATATATGCAACTTTATGTGAGTGTCTTAATTGGTGGAAAAGGGTGTTTTTCTTACCAGTGGGTCCAACATTACACACACCAAATCCGTCTGTGCTCATATAGTGGAGTCCCTAAGCCCAAAAAATAAGCTGTAAACTTCAAGTCATGCAACAAATATCCCCTTTGGTATGGAAGTACCTTAGGGTCATAGGAAACATTTTATCCAAAGAGACAAGTTAGATCACCCTTCAATTTTTTTTTATCGCCATTTTAAAAATGGCCGCTGACAATAAACCGCCAATACACCAGAGGCCTGTACTACGAAGCTGGATTTGGTCTTAGCGAGATAACTTCTGGATAACTTCTGGGTTTTCTGTACTACGAAGGTGGATCTCTTTTTATCCGGGTCCGTTGCCCCGGTAACTTATGCGGAACGGCAAACCTGCTCCGTAGCAGGTTATGTTTCAGCATAAGATCTCAGCAGGTATAAAAATCCGCCCACTGACCAATCGGATCTCTTGGAAAATGGCTTGCCCAATCTTGCCGGATCCCGGGGACATCGTTGCACGGATAGTGAGAGGAGCGCTTCGCCGAGAGCGTTATATACATGATCGTTCAAACCCCTTTGATTTACCTGATGATGTTCTATATGAACGTTACAGGTTTTCCTTGGACAGCCTCAATATTCAGGTAGCATGAAGTCTAAGCAATGCACAAATATTTGCCAAGCTCCAGGTTCCAATTTCATGCGGCATATTAGTCATCATTCAGAATTTATTGAAGCAGATTAGAAAACTCTTAACCCCAAATGTGTCTGCAGATGACATGTGACTATCAGATGATGGAGAAAAAAAGAAAAAAAGGCAGTGTGAGGAAATCACTGTTAACGTGTTGAAATATACAAATAAAATCTTCCAATAAACCTACAAACTACTTTAAAAGGATGTTTTTAGATTTATTTTTATTTGCTCCCACGTACTCTTTTCCCCACTGCTGTTGTGTCTGAAATAATGAGGTCTATGATGGAGGTGATCACACACGCTGCATGACAACATATTAGGGGGCCATAAATTTATGAACGCACAAATGTAATTTACACAACCGGTGATTTTTTTTGCCAGCAGTCCCTCCTGCTTTTAGCGGCTGCAGCTGTCCTGCTCCTCACTTATAATGTTGCGGTACTCCTCGTAAAATAATGCTCTGTTCCTCAGCTGTGAAAAATGACGTGCAGCCTTCTCCATTGTGGAGATTGGTCCGGTGGCACTGACCCCACCCCCTTTACGTGTGCGCGCACAGATCTGAAGTGGCCACACCTGGATTCAGTTATCGAGTTGATAACCGGCTTCGTAGTACAGCTGATCGGGATCGCGGAGATCCGGTGAAGTTTAGCGAGTTGTCGCAGAGTTATCCTGGATGTGTTAATCCAGCTTCGTAGTACAGGGGCCTGTTCTACGAAGCAGGTTCAACTTAGCGAGGTAGGCTTGGAGCTACCTCGCTCAACTTAGCGCGGTAGCCAGCGGTCTCGCTACACGGTTTTACGACGCTGGTTATCAACCTCATAAGTGGATCCAGCTCTGCTATGAGCGCGTGCACACATATAAGGCGGAGCCCACCGCATCTGACCAATCGCGAACATAGATCAGTCTGGAGCGTCAGAGCAGGCTGGAGAGTGAAGGACCGCGGACTTTACAAACGAGAAGCAGGAGACGATCATGAGAAAGTATGAAGAATTGAAAGCTATCATAAACCTCAAAAGCAACACCGTCGCCGCTACAAAAGCACGGAGGGAATGCTGGCAGAAAAGTAATCTTTGATGTCATTATCACCCTGAAATAGCACTGTTCAACATGCGCTTTTAACTAAGGTGACAGTCCCCGAATTGGATGATCTGTCCCCGGCTGAAGCTGTCCCCGAAAATGTCCCTGATTTAAGCGTTTCATGAATGAGAAAAAAAATGTTGCATGTGGGCTAGAACAACGGTTGTTACAGTGGGTAGGAAGCACAAGTAAGCAGTCCTGAACAACAGTATTTACGGGGTTATTATAAGGGGCGTGCGCTGCTACTAAATAGTACCAAGATGTTGTCTGTGATCGCGCAGCCCATGCCCATTCATTCCCAAGATGAAGTCATTCATTTGTTAATTCCTATCATGTTTACATTTTTGGTGTGATATGTCGGCCATATAAGCCTTTCATAAAGGTGGTCATCCGGAGAAAACTCTCCCTGAAAACTCTCGCGAGCCGGAGTGCTCCTCCTCGGACAATGCGAGCACCGAGGTCTACAGGATCCTCCGAGAATGGACAAGCCGTTTTTCGAGAGAGCTCATTGGTCAGTGGGCGGGGTTTTTATACTCGGTGAGTTCAATCTGGAACTTAACCTGCCCCGGAGCAGTTTAGCCGTTCAGCGTATGTTGCTATGGAGACTCGCCTCGCTAAGAGGTGAACCCGCGTCGTAGAACAGGAAACCCCGAACTTATCCTCAAAGTTACCTCGCTAAGCAGTAATCCTGCTTCGTAGAACAGTCTGTGTACTTAGTTGTCCGCACCTTATGTTTTCTCTGACCTGACGGGAGTGGAACTCTGTATAAGCCCATCGGCTTCGTTCCCTCCTTGCACTGTTTTTAATCTGTGCTAAATAAACAAAAAAAAAAAAAAAAACAGGCCCCAGGCCTCAGACCCCATATTTTTGCTTCTGTTGGAGCTATAATCATAATATTGGTGTCAAAGTGCACATTTTTGGGGTCTAGGAATTCAATTAAATAGGTTTCAATGCAAAAAACCCAATGCATCATTAATTACCATGACAACGGGGGGTAAAATATGCAAATTTCATGAAAAAATGTACGTTTTGACAGGGTAACTTACCCCCCCACCCCTCCCCCTAAACTGAGATTTACTTTTCCTTTGGCATGGAAGTACCTTAGGGCCATAGGAAACATTTTATCCAAAGAGACAAGTTAGATCACCCTTCAATTTTTTTAATAGCCATTTTAAAAATGGCCACCGACAATAAACCGCTAATACACCAGACCCCATATCTTTTCTTCTGTTGGAGCTATAATCATAAGATTGGTGTCAAAGTGCACATTTTTGGGGTCTAGGAATTCAATTGAATAGGTTTCAATGTAAAAAACCCAATGCTTCATTAATTACCATGACAGTGGGAGGTAACATATGCTAATTTCATGAAAAAATTTACGTTTTAACAGGGTAACTTACCCCCCCCCCACCCCTTCCCCTAAATGTAGATTTACTTTTCCCTTGGTATGGAAGTACCTTAGGACCATAGGAAACATTTTATCCAAAAAGACAAGTCAACCATGTCTGTAGTCATTTGAAAGGGGAGAAGCTACTGAATCGATTGGCATCAGTCTTTCCAAAGACTACATTTCCCAGCTTTGCAAAAAGCCGGGCGTAAAGTGTTCGTAATCTGTGCGCTTTTAGGTGCAGCGCCCCACAGACGAAGGCTGTGCTGCATCGCACACTGATCACTCAGGACTCTCCTGTAAACTTTCTCCACCACTTATAAAACTTCTCTTGAGTATCTCTTGAGTATCTTCTGTATTAAATAGGAAAGTAATACAAACCTCAAACTGAACCTCAAAGTGTCTTAGATTTTCTGTCACCTCTGATTTCATCCAGCTGTCACAGACCCTGGTATAGAATTCATGTTTTGTGGCAGCAACTGGCTACGAGAGGTGTAACACTCAGCAGTCATACAGACAGATACAAATGCAATCAGACAGAGACACATAGGGCTCTATTTTCGTGTACGCCGGTGAGGCGACGGAGGGTGGCGGACCCCGCGCAGTTGTATTTTCGTCTGGCGGAGCCCGGCGTACAGCCAGTTTGGTATTTTCGTGGACTGAAGCACACGGAGGCGAACCGAGATCCGCCAAGCTGGGCGTGGTGGCGTGGCAGGGGGAGGCGTCGACAGAATCAGCGGGCGCAGTGATATTTTCGTGCTCGCTAGTGGCGTGTAAAGTGCGCTGAAAGCTCGCCAATTCAAACCTGGTCAGCTTTCAGCGCAAGCGAAACGCAGCTGGTCTAGAGGTATTTTGGTAGACCGGCGGCGTATCGGCATACGTCACCAATGCCTCACCGGCAGGTTTCAGGATTCAGTTATCGAGTTGATAACCGGCTTCGTAGTACAGCTGATCGGGATCGCGGAGATCCGGTGAAGTTTAGCGAGTTGTCGCAGAGTTATCCTGGATGTGTTAATCCAGCTTCGTAGTACAGGCCTCAGACCCCATATCTTTGCTTCTGTTAGAGCTATAATCATAATATTGGTGTCAAAGTGCACATTTTTGGGGTCTAGGAATTCAATTAAATAGGTTTCAATGCAAAAAACCCAATGCATCATTTACTACCATGACAACGGGGGATAAAATATGCAAATTTCATTATAAAATGTACGTTTTAACAGGGTAACTTACCCCCCACCCCTCCCCCTAGACTGAGATTTACTTTTCCTTTGGCATGGAAGAACCTTAGGGCCATAGGAAACATTTTATCCAAAGAGACAACTTAGATCACCCTTCATTTATTTTATAGCCATTTTAAAAATGGCCGCCGACAATAAACCGCTAATACACCAGACCCCATATCTTTGCTTCTGTTAGAGCTATAATCATTATATTGGTGTCAAAGTGCACATTTTTGGGGTCTAGGAATTCAATTGAATAGGTTTCAATGTAAAAAACCCAATGCATCATTAATTACCATGACAGCGGGGGGGAAAATATGCAAATTTCATTATAAAATGTACGTTTTAACAGGGTAACTTACCCCCCACCCCTCCCCCTAGACTGAGATTTACTTTTCCTTTGGCATGGAAGTACCTTAGGGCCATAGGAAACATTTTATCCAAAGAGACAACTTAGATCACCCTTCATTTATTTTATAGACATTTAAAAAAATGACCACCGACAATACACCACTATTGCACCAGACCCCATATTTTCGCTTCTGTGAGAGCTATAATATTAATATTAGTGTCAAAGTCAACATTTCTGGGATCAAGAAATCCATATGAAAAGGTCTCCAGACTAAAAAATATATAGTCTTCTCATTACCCTCACAATGGGGGTAAAATATGCACATTTAATGAACAAAATAAGTGTCAAAAAGGTGACTTTAAAAATGCCCCCCTAAAAAAGAAAAAGAAAAAGAAAAGAAAAAAAGAAAAGAAAACAGCCTCTTATGTACTCTTTGGGCTCTATTTTCGTGCCTCGCTGGAGACGTGCCGCAGGCGCAGCGTAAGTCAGGTCCGCTGCGCCGACAAGGCGTTCCCACGCACAATTTGGTATTTTGGTGAGCGGCGCAGCCCGGCGTAAGTATCCCCCCTCCCTAACTCAGCTCCTCCCAGCGGCGTAAGTCGTAGGAAGGGAGGAGAGAGGGCGTGGAGTGGGTTTAACACAGCCGAGACCTGTTTTCACCAATCACATAAGCTCCTCTCCTCGCCTTTAAATCCGCCACCGGCGAGGCGTAGTACAATTTTCGGGAAGTAGTTAAAGAGATCAAGAGATGTCTGAAGACAGTTATGCCACACGGTGGTGACAGAAGGCAGCTCCTCAACAAGTGTCACTGTAAGCGCTGCATTGGGCGTCCTCCACACTCTCTCATCTGAGCACAGATGGATTTGGTGTGTGTAATGTTGGACCCACTGGTAAGACAAACACCCTTTTCCACAAATAAAGACACTCACATAAAGTTCCATATACTCAAACCTCACGTGACAAAGGTGGGTTGAGCGCACAGATCACAACATTAACTCCAAAAATGGCATTAAAATCAGAACCATCTGTGCATAAATGACGCATTGCGCTCAGTGGCCTGGCTCTTTCTTTCATAGACGTTGGCATATAAAATAAATTTGGCTCACAAAACTGAATATTGTAATATCCGCATGTAGGCTTAAAGTAAATAACTCATCTGGGGCCTTATGTATCAATACTTGCGTGGAACTCATACCAGAAACGAGCGCACGCAAGGTCAATAATGCTGAAAAAAATCCGTATGTATCAATGTGTGCGGGCGCCGAAATCCACGTGTGTTTCCTTGATAAATCCCAATCAGCGTGGAATTGAGCGCAGATGTCGGAGTGACTGTGCCCGTCCCCGTTACGCCCTCCTATAAATATGCAGATTTATTTAAATAGGGTCTCCCTGTCCTCGCACGCAGACAAAATGACAAGAAAAACTAAATTTACGGCGTGCGAGGTGGAGGTGCTGGTGGCGGAGGTGGAGGAGCGACAGCGTGTTTTGTTTGGCAGCCTGTCCAGTGGCGTCAGTGCAAAACAAAAACGCTTGGAGTGGGAGAAAGTTTGCGAGAGGGTGAATGCGGTGGGTTCCGAGACACGCACCCCCGCGGAGATTAAAAAAAAGTGGTCGGACCTCAAGGTGGAGGTCAAGCGGCGTACAGCTGCCCTTCGGAGGAGTACTGGCCAGACAGGTGGGGTTCCGGGGGAGGAGACCCTCACGCCGTTTGAGCAGCGGGTGGTGGTGATTATTATTATAGGGTAAGTGGCGTGTCACACAAATGTCCACATGCTTTGTCATCCCACTGAGCAAAAGACGTATATTAGACGTCTAGTCTAAGTTTATACTTCATTTCAACATCGGGATTCAGTCTATTTTTAGACGTGATTTATACTTCGCCCTTAACTTAATTTTTTGATAACTTTTTATGCAATAAACAACTGTAATGTGCATAACTGACCTCGAAATACTGGATTACATTACCTATGATACCGTGGAGAGAGATGTAAACGCAACAGATACACAGAAGCAGGAATTGAAATGAACAAATATTTTTATTGTGTCACAGAAATCAATATGTCGGCCGTGTCGCCGGCTTGCGGAACCCCGGCCCGCGGCAGCCCGTCCGCCGGCTCGGAGTCGTCGGCCAGGACCAGCGGCATTCGGGCCACCCCGGCCCCCGGCCCCAGCACCAGCACCAGCATCAGCACCAGCGCGCCGACAAGCGGTGGAGCGTCCACCAGCCGCGGCGTTTCCGCTGGACCACCCGGACGCAGTGGAAGGGTCCTCTCGAAGGGGGTCCTGCAATCGCAGGAAGAAATCATCAGGGGGATCGCGGGGATCAACGAGCGGCTGGACCGGCTCGTAAATGTCCTCGAGCGTCTGGTGGAGAAAATAAATTAATTTGGCTCATTGAACTGTGTATTCACTTCTTACCCATTCACACTGTGGCGATGAGATTCTCCCGCGCGAGGACGGCGGCCCGGCAGGGATCAGCTCGCATCCCTCCGTCTGCTGCTGGTTCGTCATGTGGGGCGACGTGCTGCTCGGCCACGGGGATGTGGTGCACGCTTGTCACATAGTGAGTCACCAAACACCGCCACACAGCGTCGCCAAAGTGCGAATCACAGTCAACGCAAGTATCAGCTCAACGCCAATTTCTACACCACCTCCTGACTTTGCGTTGATTAGCGCTGGAACCGACGCTCGTTTCGCGATGATAAATCTGGACGTGTGCGCCGATTTTGGCGTACGCAAGGTTTTCTTGCGCCGCAAGCGTTGATACATAAGGCCCCTGATCACTGAAACAAATCATCTGTTCAGTCGCTGCAGCTGCAGCAGGACGGAGAGAGGACACGGAGACATGTCCAGGTCGAGCTGCGCGAGAAATAAGAGGAAGAAAGAAATGGAGGGAGACGAATCACATATCTTGTTAACTTCATCATGTGTGTTTATTTACTTGATATTGAATTTAATGCGGTTTCAGCTGTGTTGATTCGGTCAGGTTGTGTGTCGAAACGCGTGCCAAACGCGCTCATCAGAGCAGATATAGATCAGAATATATCGATATAGATCTAAATGTATGTGCTAACTCAGATTATTAGTTGTTGATGATTATTTATTGCACTGAAATGTGCCTGACACTGTGGAAACCTGCCGGTGAGGCATCGGTGACGTATGCCGATACGCCGCCGGTCTACCAAAATACCTCTAGATCAGCTGCGTTTCGCTTGCGCTGAAAGCTGACCAGGTTTGAATCGGCGAGCTTTCAGCGCACTTTACACGCCACTGGCGAGCACGAAAATATCACTGCGCCCGCTGATTCTGTCGACACCTCCCCCTGCCACGCCACCACGCCCAGCTTGGTGGATCTCGGTTCGCCTCCGTGTGCTTCAGTCCACGAAAATACCAAACTGGCTGTACGCCGGGCTCCGCCAGACGAAAATACAACTGCGCGGGGTCCGCCACCCTCCGTCGCCTCACCGGTGTACACGAAAATAGAGCCCTATGTGTCTCTGTCTGATTGCATTTGTATCTGTCTGTATGACTGCTGAGTGTTACACCTCTCGTAGCCAGTTGCTGCCACAAAACATGAATTCTATACCAGGGTCTGTGACAGCTGGATGAAAGCAGAGGTGACAGAAAATCTAAGACACTTTGAGGTTCAGTTTGAGGTTTGTATTACTTTCCTATTTAATACAGAAGATACTCAAGAGATACTCAAGAGAAGTTTTATAAGTGGTGGAGAAAGTTTACAGGAGAGTCCCGAGTGATCAGTGTGCGATGCAGCACAGCCTTCGTCTGTGGGGCGCTGCACCTAAAAGCGCACAGATTAAGAACACTTTACGCCCGGCTTTTTGCAAAGCTGGGAAATGTAGTCTTTGGAAAGACTGATGCCAATCGATTCAGTAGCTTCTCCCCTTTCAAATGACTACAGACATGGTTGACTTGTCTTTTTGGATAAAATGTTTCCTATGGCCCTAAGGTACTTCCATACCAAGGGAAAAGTAAATCTACGTTTAGGGGAAGGGGTGGGGGGGTAAGTTACCCTGTTAAAACTTACATTTTATAATGAAATTAGCATATTTTACCCCCCGTTGTCATGGTAATTAATGATGCATTGGGTTTTTTGCATTGAAGCCTATTTAATTGAATTCCTAGACCCCAAAAATGTGCACTTTGACACCAATATTATGATTATAGCTCTAACAGAAGCAAAGATACAGGGTCTGGTGTATTAGCGGTTCATTGTCGGCGGCCATTTTTAAAATGGCTATTAAAAACATTTTTTATGGTGATCTAACTTGTCTCTTTGGATAAAATGTTTCCTATGGCCCTAAGGTACTTCCATGCCAAAGAAAAAGTAAATCTCAGTTTAGGGGGAGGGGTGTGGGGGTAAGTTACCCTGTCAAAACGTAAATTTTTTCATGAAATTAGCATATTTTACCCCCCATTGTCATGGTATTTAATGAAGCATTGGGTTTTTTACATTGAAACCTATTTAATTGAATTCCTAGACCCCAAAAATGTGCACTTTGACGCCAATATTATGATTATAGCTCTAACAGAAGCAAAGATACAGGGTCTGGTGTATTAGCAGTTTATTGTCGGCGGCCATTTTTAAAATGGCTATTAAAAACATTTTTTATGGTGATCTAACTTGTCTCTTTGGATAATTTATTTCCTATGGCCCTAAGGTACTTCCTTGCCAAAGGAACAGTAAATCTCAGTTTAGGGGGAGGGGTGGGGGGGGGGGTGGGGGTAAGTTCCCCTGTCAAAACGTAAATTTTTTCATGAAATTAGCATATTGTACCCCCCATTGTCATGGTATTTAATGAAGCATTGGGTTTTTTACATTGAAACCTATTTAATTGAATTCCTAGACCCCAAAAATTTGCACTTTGACGCCAATATTATGATTATAGCTCTAACAGAAGCAAAGATACAGGGTCTGGTGTATTAGCAGTTTATTGTCGGCGGCCATTTTTAAAATGGCTATTAAAAACATTTTTTATGGTGATCTAACTTGTCTCTTTGGATAAAATGTTTCCTATGGCCCTAAGGTACTTCCATGCCAAAGGAACAGTAAATCTCAGTTTAGGGGGAGGGGTGTGGGGGTAAGTTACCCTGTCAAAACGTAAATTTTTTCATGAAATTAGCATATTTTACCCCCCATTGTCATGGTATTTAATGAAGCATTGGGTTTTTTACATTGAAACCTATTTAATTGAATTCCTAGACCCCAAAAATGTGCACTTTGACGCCAATATTATGATTATAGCTCCAACAGAAGAAAAGATGTGGGGTCTGGTGTATTAGCGGTTTATTGTCAGCAGCCATTTTTAAAATGGCTATTAAAAAAATTTAATGGTGATCTAACTTGTCTCTTTGGATAATTTATTTCCTATGGCCCTAAGGTACTTCCTTGCCAAAGGAACAGTAAATCTCAGTTTAGGGGGAGGGGTGGGGGGGGGTGGGTAAGTTCCCCTGTCAAAACGTACATTTTTCCATGAAATTAGCATATTTTACCCCCCCACTGTCATGGTAATTAATGAAGCATTGGGTTTTTTACATTGAAACCTATTTAATTGAATTCCTAGACCCCAAAAATGTGCACTTTGACACCAATATTATGATTATAGCTCCAACAGAAGCAAAGATACGGGGTCTGGTGTATTGGCGGTTTATTGTCAGCGGCCTTTTTTAAAATGGCGATAAAAAATAATTGAAGGGTGATCTAACTTGTCTCTTTGGATAAAATGTTTCCTATGACCCTAAGGTACTTCCATACCAAAGGGGATATTTGTTGCATGACTTGAAGTAAAATGTGTCTTAGGGCCCTAACTATTTGTCAGGCTCAATTAAGGAAGCCTGCGGTAAAATTCTTCCAGAAACGGCTCAGCCAGGGTGGTACATATTGGATCAGGGAAGTCGTGAGTCAAACAGAGTAAAACATCTATCTCTTGCTAGTGCAGCTTCAGAAATTCACTGTCACCCAGTCAGACATAAATGGTTCCAACAGGAGGTCTAAACGGTTTATCAGAGCACTGCTCACCGCAGCCTCGGTTGTTGGCTCTTTTTTTGGCATCAGATTTTCCTCTGTTAATGCAGTTAGCCTAGCTATTGTCAAACACCATGTGGCTAGAAGCTGAAATTCTAGACATCAGGGCTCAGATTAGCAGACAGCAGACACAACTGCAGACTATTGGTCTAACAGTCAAGGGCACTGTCCTTGCAGTCAATACCCATAGTGAAGTCCTGAACAAGACGCTGCATGCTGTAAATTCCTTGCTGTAAATTCCTTGCTGTCAGTGGTCCAGGTTGACTATGCTCACACACTGCTGTTGAATATGCTCATGTCAGACATGTTGCCAGAAATATCAACTGTAGACAGTCTTGCCATGGTTGTTGCCCTCTACTGCCTTAATCCTGATCAACTTAAAACAGAGATTGAAATGCCAGTGTTTCTCAGCAAGCATGCGCTCCAGGTAGATCCTAGTAACATCTCTCAGATCTCAAGAGAAGCCCCAATTCAACCCATAATCTACATCTGGTCATTCCCCAGACACCATGTAGCTGTCAGTGTAGTGCTAGGGTACCTTCTGACCTTTGGACTAGCTCCCCTAGACGCCAAATGTGGAAGGGCTCTACAGTACATGATAGATCAATGAAGCGCTAGGCTACAACTCCGTAGGCAGCCAGAACCTGAACAGGAAGTAAATGAGGAAGAAAAGACTGTGCTAACAACTTGGTCATGCTGTAGTTTGCTCCCTGTAACTTTGCATGCTTAGATTTAGTAGACTTAGCCTATATAGTAGACCTAGCCAGTGACGAACTCTGAACGAGACGCATCAACCCTCCTTGGATAAACTGCGGCTTCCAAATGGTCGTCTCATCTGATCGTCCTAATGGCCCCTGAAGCTGGGATTTGTAGCCGAGACAACTGGTTTCTGCTTTTTCACCTTTAATTCACCCTCAAAAGAATGCAGTGACTAACCAAGAGGTGATCTCGCAAAAGACAGACAGTCAATCTTTTGCATTTCAAGGAGACAAAGTTGTTCATTTCCAGCAGGACCCCCAGACTGGATAAACATTCAACGCTCTGCTGTTAGCTGTAGACACTCAAATTTGACACCTTAACCTTAAAGGTACCTTAGAAGATCATGGGAACTCAACTTAAGAGTGCATCAAAAGCATTCATCTGTGAAACATACCACAGCCAAAAATCTTCAGAGTGGCTGTTTTTCCTGTGACCCTCTTTAGGTGCAGAATAAAGAGAATAACCGCAAATGATTCAATCTCAGGTTTAATGGACACTTCATCAGGATTCTCTATCTGTACACCACTTCAGCAGTGAAACAGTGTTTGTCCCATTTGTTAAGCATGTTTCTAAGCCAAACTGCTTAACTATTCCAGGTTTTTCATGGACCAAGATCTACCCCTATTAATTTTTTCTGAATATGATTTTGGTCAGAATCCAAATACGTATTCCTTGAATTTAATTGTGTTGCATGTTATATACTTTGTAGCTCAGTGAATGGTTTTCCCAAAATAGGTTAGCAATATTAGGAATAGTAACTGAAAACTCTTTTATACGTGAGTTAAGAGTGTTTTGATTGTTTAAAATGCTATGTTTGTCTACCCCCCCAAAATTATGCAAAATTATTTTCTTAAGTTATTGGCGCAAATTAATCTGCGGTAAAGCTAATCCTGAACACCCGGAGGACCGACCAGTATCAATTGCTGACCATAAGGTTCTGGAAGAGGAGCTCTGAAGTATCCATGGGGCACCTGTGCTGTGTGCTTGGGTGTGACATCAGATCCAGTGCCGGCAGAGAACTTCTTGCCGAATCCAAGTACCCAACTGGTAGCCTGGACCTCTGGCTCATCTGCTCCAAGATTACCCGCTGTTATCAATTAAGTAGGCAAACCTTTGACACTCTTTGAAGAATCAGGTAATATGTCAAGCGTTCAGTGGCTTATAATTTTAATTATAGTTTAGTTTCTCCAAATTCCTCTTCCAAATTTATTCCCGTTACCCCGTTAACGTAGTTTAAATTTTTCCTTATTCACTCACTATCATTAACCTCCAGTCTTAGCTCAATTCAAACCATTCCTTCATTTATGCATTGGGTGTTCTTTTATTTTCTCATTATTTGATCATCATTTATTGAATTTATGTAATCACCTAGCATTTGTCAATGAAGTATCGATTTAACCTTAAGTTGTCGTCTCTTAGTGGTCCTTCCAGAAGTGAAGTCCCTGAAATGAAAATTCTGGCCTCAGATGTGAGATTGATTTAAAGCTGTTTAAAACTGATTCAACATCTGATTACCTAATTAAACTTTGTTTTTCATAATTTCATAATTTAATTCTATTATTTTGAGACATTTATTATAAATTCAAATTGCTACATTTATAAATTCCGTATGCTATCCTATGCTTACTTACCCAGTGTTTATAAATGAGGCCCCCGATATCTCCATAAGTCAGAATTAATCTTTACTCCATTACCATATGTCTGCCTACTCACTTTTTAGCTCCCTAAAAATCACTACAGACAGTTTTCTTTTTTTTCTGAGCTGATGTCATGACTTTGAATAGCCGCTGTGATCAGTCCTGTGACGGCTCCGAGGGTATTTAATCACAACCACACCTGCAGATCAGTAAAGGCACCTGCACTAGTTCATGCTGTTCTGCTCTACTCATGAAACCAAAAGAAGGAGAACATGGAGAAGCACGGGGAGAGTCTTCAGTCAGAGGTTAGGGTTCAAATTTCAGGTCAGAGCTCATGATGTCAAAGTGAGTGAGCTCCATAACTTTATTTACTCTGACCTCTTTATACACCCTGATCCTGCTGCAGGTCCTCTGCTCCTGGTTCATGAGCTGATGGTTTTTGATTAATCATGATCAATTCTACACAGTTTTCTTATTTCAGACTTGGTGGATTTTCTGAAATCAGGTATTTTAAACACTTATTTTTCATGGTTATAATCTTAATCTACACTTTGATAATCTGTGCTAACCTGCTGATCATTGTGGTTATCTGTATGAACAGAAGCTTACATGAACCTATGTATATATTTCCATGCAGTCTGTTTGTTAATCAGCTGTTTGGTAGTAAAGGGTTTTTCCCTCTCCTCCTGGTTCAGATTCTCTCTGACAGTCACTCTGTGTCTGTGAAATCTGCTGATTTTCTGTGTTTATTCATATTTAGGAAACAAATTTTTCACTTTAGCAGCTATTTCCTATGACAGATATCTTGCTATCTGTTATCCTCTGCAGTATAACGCTCTCATGACATTTAAAAAGGTTTCTGTCTTGATTACGGTGGCATGGGTTATTGCTTTTCTTCTGGTTGTTGGTTTAATGTCCTTGAGTTCTTCTTTGCAGCTGTGTGGGAACATTATCAACCATGTTTTCTGTGATAATTATGTGATTGTCAAACTGGCCTGCTCTGACACCATAGTAAATAACATTTATGGTCTTGTTATGGCTGTGATCATAGTAACTGTCCCCCTGGTTTTCATCTTTTACACCTACATGAGAATCCTTAAAGTCTGTTATTCTGGTTCCTATCAAACCAGACAGAAAGCTGTCAGTACCTGCACACCTCACCTGGGGCCTCATGTATCAACGCTGGCGGCGCCAGAAAACCTTGCGTTCGCCAAGATCGGCGCACACGTCCAGATTTATCATCGCGAAACGAGCGTCGGTTCCAGCGCAAAGTGAGGAGGTGGTGTAGAAGTTGGCGTTGAGCCGATACTTGCGTTGACGGCACTTTGGTGACGCTGTGTGGCGGTGTTTGGTGACTCACTATGTGACAAGCGTGCACCACATCCCCGTGGCCGAGCAGCACGTCACCCCACATGACGAACCAGCAGAAGACGGAGGGATGCGAGCTGATCCCTGCCGGGCCGCCGTCCTCGTGCGGGAGAATCTCATCACCACAGTGTGAATGGGTAAGAAGTGAATACACAGTTCAATCAGCCAAATTAATTTATTTTCTCCACCAGACGCTCGAGGACATTTACGAGCCGGTCCAGCCGCTCGTTGATCCCCGCGATCCCCCTGATGATTTCTTCCTGCGATTGCAGGACCGCCTCCGCGAGGACCCTTCCACTGCGTCCGGGTGGTCCAGCAGAAGCGCCGCGGCTGGTGGACGCTCCACCGCTTGTCGGCGCGCTGGTGCTGGTGCTTGGTGCTGGGGCCGGGGGCCGGGGTGACCCGAATGCCGCTGGTCCTGGCCGACGACTCCGAGCCGGCGGACGGGCTGCCGCGGGCCGGGGTTCCGCAAGCCGGCGACACAGCCGACACATTGATTTCTGTGACACAATAAAAATATTGATTCATTTCAATTCCTGCTTCTGTGTATCTGTTGCGTTTACATCTATGGCATGTGGATATTTGTGTGACACGCCACTTACCCTCCGGCAGGCTGTCTGAGTTGCCGCGGGTAGCAGTGACAATCCCCCCCACAGAGGCGCCCCCCATAATCGCCACCACCCGCTGCTCAAACGGCGTGAGGGTCTCCTCCCCCGGACCCCCACCTGTCTGGCCGGTACTCCTCCGGAGGGCAGCTGTACGCCGCTTGACCTCCATCTTGAGGTCCGACCACTTTTTTTTAATCTCCGCGGGGGTGCGTGTCTCGGAACCCACCGCGTTCACCCTCTCGCAAACTTTCTCCCACTCCAAGCGTTTTCGTTTTGCACTGACGCCACTGGACAGGCTGCCAAACAAAACACGCTGTCGCTCCTTCACCTCCTCCACCGCCACCAGCATCAGCACCAACACCATCACCATCACCTCCACCTCGCACGCCGTAAATTTCGTTTTTCTTGTCATTTTGTCTGCGTGCGAGGACAGGGAGACCCTATTTAAATAAATCTGCATAGTTATAGGTGGGCGTAACGGGGGCGGGCCCGGTCACTCCGACATCTGCGCTCAATTCCAAGCTGATTGGGATTTATCAAGGAAACATGCGTGGCTTTCGGCGCCCGCACACCTTGATACATACGAATTTTTTTCAGCGTGACGGACCTTGCGTGCACTCGTTTCCGGTATGAGTCCCACGCAAGTGTTGATACATGAGGCCCCTGGCCTCTCTGATAAACTTCTCTTTTGGGATTTGCTTTTTAGTTGTTCAGCTCAGGCTTGATATGAGTAATGTACCAACTCTGCTGCCTATAGTATTATCTTTGTACCTTCTTACATGTCAACCTCTGCTAAATCCTGTAATGTACGGCCTCAAAATGTCAAAAATCCTCAATATACTCAAAAGTCTGTTTTGTTCTAAAGTTGCAATTATTCACTTAAACATTAAGTGAGAAAAAATTTCTATCAATGCCTGACATTGACCTTTACCATGATGTGTAACAGTCACGTTCTGTTAATCAGGGGTATAACATGGTCTTGATAATAACCATAGACTGTATATAGAATGGACAGAGTCTGCCTCCTCACGGGGTGAAGCCACTCCGAGAACAGCACCCTCTGTTGATTGGCTGCAGTATCGGTCATAAATCCCGCCTCCGCCGGCAAAGCTTATGGGGCTGAGGACAAACTTTAGAATTTATTAATTTAATTTATTACACAGAACATAAATTTTTCTCCCCCCTGCTTGTGATGTTGACATGTTGTTACAGAAAGACTGGTTTGTGCTCAAGTCCTCTTTTTTCTGTGAAGCTCCATTTTTAAAAGTTATTAGGGGGTTCATGTTTTCTATGATTGACACCTGATACAGCCTATGGGCGTTCAGGGATTGAGTAGCTCTCCCGGGGGGATACGCTATTGGGGAGAGCGTCATCACAGGGACTCTCTGCGACTGCAAGGCCGAATGCGGACAGCGCTACTGCACAGCACTGGTTTCAGGAAATGAAGAAAAATCCCGGAAATACAGAGAGCTATTTGGCTTCAAATCCGTATACAGGTGGTAGGCGGAACCAGGTTGTCCATAGTATATACAGTCTATGATAACAATGCAGATAGATGAGGTGAAGGTTAATAAAGTTTAACTTTGCATAAATTCCAACTTGTCTCATTCAGATTTCATTACTGCCTATCTGTTAAAACTGTTGATAGAAAAACAACTGTTCACTATTCAATTTACATTTAGCCAGTCAGTCAGATTTCAACTCAGTAAAGCTTATACTAACGGTTTGGCACTTGAGAAAAAAGAGAGAACATTTTTTTTCTGGCATAAACTGCTGCTGTAAACTGCATAAATAAACTGGACTGATGAACTGTGGTTTCTTTGTTCAAACAGAGTCTAGACCTGGGGTCCGTTTCACGTAGCAGGTTTAATGGAAACTCAGAGTCTGTTAACCCTGAAATCAGGGAAACTCTGAGTTTTCCGTTTCACAAAGGAGGGTCAGTTAAACCAGAGAGAGAGGGGTAACTCTAACCTGTTTCACAAAGAGAGGTAACTCAACCTCGCGGTCAGTTACCATAGTAACAGACTCCGTGAACCTAACCTGCTCGGGAGCAGGTTTAACTCAGTAAACCCAGAGTTTCAGGTGAGGCATCGGCATTTTCTCGTTTTGATCATGTTTTACATTATCAAGTAAGTATTAAGTGGCAGTTTGATCCCTTAAAAATGCTCTTTTCACACTCAAAAATGAATTTTCTCTCTTATGATGTTCCGTTAAATGATTAGGAATATTAAACTAACACACACTTTCACTCAGCAAACAGAAAGAGGGCAGATGCCAGAAAAACGGGTGGTGGGCCAGCAGCCCCACCTTTAACGGAGGCAGAGTAGCTGCCCCCCCTCACGGCCGGTCCGGTTGCAACCCCCCCCCCCCCCGCCAGCAGCGATCGTCGGACTGGTGTGTGTGTGTGTGTGTGTGTGTGTGTGTGTGTGTGTATGGGGGGGGGGGGGGGGGGGGCGCGCTCCTCTGCCTCCTCTGTAAAATATGATCAAAATGAGAAAATGCCGATGTCTCACCTGTTTGCACAATGTTTTTATATTTAATTTTCAGCTGCTGCCAAGTGCGTTTTTGATCGCTGGATTGCACCTACATAAAATAAATTAATTTGCTCCATGCAAGCAGTTTCCCCTGCAACAGTCTGTCATTGTGATTGCACAAGACTAGATTTAAAGTTATGCATTGACGCGAGCAGCAATTTCCCCCCATGCCCTCTCCCTCTCACTTGCAGCTGCTGTATTGCACTTTCTTTTAAAAACGTGCTGTAATTTGCGTTGGCTTGCTGCTGCCCCCTCCTTCTCCCTGTTTCCATTGGTTGATCAATGAATCTGGGCTCCACAGATGCTGGCTGTTTATGTCTGGCGTGCACGTGCTTAACTCCAGGTCAAACTACTAGCCTCAATGGGGCCCTAAGCAAAATTTGATTTTGGGGCCCTCTATTTATGCCAATAATATTGATTGTTGATCCTTCACACACCTTAACAAATCTCTGAGATTAACATTCCATGACATGCAAACATACCTTTATCTTGGCGTTTTTTCTCTTCTTCCTCTTTCTTTTCTCTGCTCCTGAAGGATATGTCCTTTTTTGCAACATTGTTTCAGTACACAGAGTGCTTTATTTTGAAAATAGGCCTGATGTTTCATTTTGTGTCTGTGCCCGACTTCCTTTCCAGCACAGACTAATCTGTGCTTAAATTAAGAAGCATGCTGAGACGTCCAGGAAAAATAGAACCCTGGTGATCGGCTGTGGAGTCCGCTGAGCCGCAGCTGAACGGAAAGTAGCTGGTGGAAATTGACACATGAACTTAAATGGAAACAATCTGCTGCTATAGGCACATACGACCTTTTCGCAGCTGTTCCAGATATGGTAGAAATTGGGGATAAGGCTCGGAGTGAACAGATTTTGACCTGTGTAATAGACAGAAAGGTAAGAAGAGCAAGAACACTATGAAGTTCCTCACTACTCACTACTTCTTTAAAAATCCGTTTTGTCATACTATTATCCTGGAAAAATTAAGTAGACTACAATGTCAGGAGGAAAGGAAACAGGACACTATTGCAGACCAAGGGGTTCTGAAAGTCACACCACAGGGGGAGCTGCTGAATTCACAAATAAATAAAAGTTTAGATACACAGAACCAAGCAGCTGACTGTAACCAAGTGAGTTAATCTATGCCCATCTGTTGTTGACATAAGTCACTGGGGTATCTCAGTGCTGATTGGTTATCGCAACACAAACATTTGCTTGAGTTGAGATATTTTTAACTCAGTGAATAGGTGTTTGAAGCGAGTTGAGCATTGGATGCACAAATTAAAAAAAGTTAAGTTATTCCCACAACTAGGCCGCTCAATTCACACAATTCGCACCTTGCAATTCGCATCATATGTGACGCCTAAGTATAATGCACATCTAATTGCATCTCTACATTGACTTTACTTTTAATTTACCCACAACAATGATTTTACTTAACCTTGGTGTAAACACAAGGTTAAAGACTGCTGAAATCTTGGAAAGTCTGAAGGTAATCATGAGCTGTTCCTAATGGCAGTGGTTTAACAGTCTTTATTCTGGTCTTCTGCGGTTCCGAGGTCAAACTTGGTGAAAATGGAAGCATCCTGAAATCCTGCAACAACAGATATTGTAGTTTGAGGTAGCAGCTCCTTACCATGTTCTATTTAAAATACCTATAATTGAGTTCTTTATTCAATTAATTCAATAAATGTTTGTTAATATAGCGCCACATCGCCTCATCATTTATTCATTGCTGTGCCTGGGGACATGCTGTTGCACACACAACACAACAAAGAGAGTCACAGAGGTGACAATTGATTGGCTCGGCTCGTGGCTTGTCTGTCAAGGCCACAGATATACACTACAGGCCAAAAGTTTGGAAGCAAGGCCATTACAGGCCAAACAGTTGGGAGTAACTTCAAGCTTTTATTCACAATGCTTTTTTTAAAATCCAGCATGAGTTTTATGTATTTTGGGATGTATTTACTCCATGATCAGATGTTGCTTTCATGGAAATGCACCATTTTACTCCATTTACCTTTAGATATACATTGATGTTAACAGACCATTGCTAAATATATGTCAGCAAAAGATGATAAGGGCTAAGTTTTAGGGTTGAAAACATTCGCAAGAGTCACAACTTCAGTGCAAAAGCAAAAAAACAAATCACGTTTGGATTATTCACTTCAACTTTTTGGCTTTTGAGAGTCTGCATACAAAAATCCTAATAAATCTCAACTGCGTTCAGACTACCCCAAAAATGGCCAGAAAGAAGCAACTGAGTAAAGAAACAAAAGTACAGATTTGTACATTGAGGATAGAAGGATACACAGAAAGAGAAATTGCAAAACGCCTATAGGTGTTTAACAAAGGAGTCCACTACACTCTGAAGAGACTAGAGGAACCTGAAAGTTATGATGATAGAAAAAGACCTGGACGAAAGAGAGTTACTACAAAAGCAGAGGATAAACACGAATCAGCAGTCTCTTTTTGATTAACTTAAGAAAGCTTGGAATGCAATCTCTGGAACATACCTTAAAAAACTTGGAACGAATGCCTGGTATATGCCAGGCTGTTGTTAAAGCCAGAGGAGGTTACTTTAAAGAAAGTGAAGTCTAAGCAACAATAACTCAAATACCTAATAATTATGGTCAAAATGTCTTCTGATAAGTTACTCTTTAACAATAGTCATGTTTATTGTGTTGCAAATTATATATATGAAACTATGATCTTTTTTTGTACAAATCTGATCTTGCTTCCAAACTTTTGGCCTGTAGTGTATATATACGTGCCTACGTGGCAGCTATCTTGGTGGGGGCAATATTGCCATTAAAGGCTTTAGATGTACATGGAAAATAAATCATACTCTGCTCATTTCTCAATCTATTTTCATGGGGTTGATTTTATTTTCAATGCCAAAACATGAAATATTAATATAGATCATTTGATTTATTAACTTAAAAAAACAAATGTTTAATCAAATGTTCTGTATTAAGATAACACGTCTTGCCCTAAAACTAGTTGAGAAATGAGCAAGATATGATTTATTTTCCATGTACATCTAATTTATTTAATGGGAAATAGGAAACATTTTATCCAAAGAGACAAGTTAGGTCACTCTTTAATTATTTTTAATAGCAATTTTAAAAATGGCCGCCGACAATAAACCGCTAATACACCAGACCCCATATCTTTTCTTCTGTTGGAGCTATAATCATAAGATTGGTGTCAAAGTGCACATTTTTGGGGTCTAGGAATTCAATTAAATAGGTTTCAATGCAAAAAACCCAATTCATCATTAATTACCATGACAACGGGGGTAAAATATGTTAATTTCCTTTTAAAATGTACGTTTTAACAGGGTAACTTACCCCCCCCACCCCTTCCCCTAAATGTAGATTTACTTTTCCCTTGGTATGGAAGTACCTTAGGACCATAGGAAACATTTTATCCAAAAAGACAAGTCAACCATGTCTGTAGTCATTTGAAAGGGGAGAAGCTACTGAATCGATTGGCATCAGTCTTTCCAAAGACTACATTTCCCATCTTTGCAAAAAGCCGGGCGTAAAGTGTTCGTAATCTGTGCGCTTTTAGGTGCAGCGCCCCACAGACGAAGGCAGGATGCTGCATCGCACACTGATCACTCGGGACTCTCCTGTAAACTTTCTCCACCACTTATAAAACTTCTCTTGAGTATCTCTTGAGTATCTTCTGTATTAAATAGGAAAGTAATACAAACCTCAAACTGAACCTCAAAGTGTCTCAGATTTTCTGTCACCTCTGATTTCATCCAGCTGTCACAGACCCTGGTATAGAATTCATGTTTTGTGGCAGCAACTGGCTACGAGAGGTGTAACACTCAGCAGTCATACAGCCAGATACAAATGCAGTCAGACAGATACACATAGGGCTCTATTTTCGTGTACGCCGGTGAGGCGACGGAAGGTGGCGGAGCCCGGCGTACAGCCAGTTTGGTATTTTCGTGGACTGAAACGCACAGAGGCGAACCGAGATCCGCCAAGCTGGGTGTGGTGGCGTGGCAGGGGGAGGTGTCGAAAGAATCAGCGGGCGCAGTGACATTTTCGTGCTCGCCAGTGGCGTGTAAAGTGCGCTGAAAGCTCGCCGATTCAAACCTGGTCAGCTTTCAGCGCAAGCGAAACGCAGCTGGTCTAGAGGTATTTTGGTAGACTGGCGGCGTATCGGCACACGTCACCGATGCCTCACCGGCAGGTTTCCACAGTGTCAGGAACATTTCAGTGCAATAAATAATCATCAACAACTGATAATCTGAGTCAACACATACATTTAGATCTATATCGATATATTCTGATCTATATCTGCTCTGATGAGCGCGTTTGGCACGCGTTTCGACACACAACCTGACCGAATCAACACAGCTGAAACCACATTAAATTAAATATCTAGTAAATAAACACACATGATGAAGTGAACAAGATATGTGATACGTCTCCCTCCTTTTCTTTCTTCCTCTTATTTCTCGCGCAGCTCGACCTGGACATATCTCCGTGTCCTCTCTCCATCCTGCTGCAGCTGCAGTGGCTGAACAGATGATTTGTTTCAGTGATCAGATGAGTTATTTACTTTAAGCCTACATGCGGATATTACAATATTCAGTTTTGTGAGCCAAATTTATTTTATATGCCAACATCTATGAAAGAAAGAGCCAGGCCACTGAGCGCAATGCGTCATTTACGCACAGATGGTTCTGATTTTAATGCCATTTTTGGAGTTAATGTTGTGATCTGTGCGCTCAACCCACCTTTGTCACGTGAGGTTTGAGTATATGGAACTTTATGTGAGTGTCTTTATTTGTGGAAAAGGGTGTTTGTCTTACCAGTGGGTCCAACATTACACACACCAAATCCATCTGTGCTCAGATGAGAGAGTGTGGAGGACGCCCAATGCAGCGCTTACAGTGACACTTGTTGAGGAGCTGCCTTCTGTCACCATCGTGTGGCATAACTGTCTTCAGACATCTCTTGATCTCTTTAACTACTTCCCGAAAAATTGTACTACACCTCGCCGGTGGCGGATTTAAAGGCAAGGAGAGGAGCTTATGTGATTGGTGAAAACAGGTCTCGGCTGTGTTAAACCCACTCCACGCCCTCTCTCCTCCCTTCCTACGACTTACGCCGCTGGGAGGAGCTGAGTTAGGGAGGGGGGATACTTACGCCGGGCTGCGCCGCTCACCAAAATACCAAATTGTGCGTGGGAACGCCTTGTCGGCGCGGCAGACCTGACTTACGCCACGCCTGCGGCATGTCTCCAGCGAGGCACGAAAATAGAGCCCATAGAGTACATAAGAGGCTGTTTTCTTTTCTTTTTTTCTTTTCTTTTTCTTTTTTAGGGGGGCATTTTTAAAGTCACCTTTTTGACACTTATTTTGTTCATTAAATGTGCATATTCTACCCTCATTGTGAGGGTAATGAGAAGACTATATATTTTTTAGTCTGGAGACCTTTTCATATGGATTTCTTGATCCCAGAAATGTTGACTTTGACACTAATATTAATATTATAGCTCTCACAGAAGCGAAAATATGGGGTCTGGTGTAATAGTGGTGTATTGTCGGTGGTCATTTTTTAAAATGTCTATAAAATAAATGAAGGGTGGTCTAACTTGTCTCTTTGGATAAAATGTTTCCTATGGCCCTAAGGTACTTCCATGCCAAAGGAACAGTAAATCTCAGTCTAGGGGGAGGGGTGGGGGGTAAGTTAACCTGTTAAAACGTTCATTTTATAATGAAATTTGCATATTTTACCCCCTACTGTCATGGTAATTAATGATGCATTGGGTTTTTTGAATTGAAACCTATTTAATTGAATTCCTAGACCCCAAAAATGTGCACTTTGACACCAATATTATGATTATAGCTCTAACAGAAGCAAAGATATGGGGTCTGGTGTATTAGCGGTTTATTGTCGGCGGCCATTTTTAAAATGTCTATAAAATAAATGAAGGGTGATCTAACTTGTCTCTTTGGATAAAATGTTTCCTATGGCCCTAAGGTACTTCCATGCCAAAGGAAAAGTAAATCTCAGTTTAGGGGGAGGGGTGGGGGGGTAAGTTACCCTGTCAAAACGTTCATTTTTTCATGAAATTTGCATATTTTACCCCCTGCTGTCATGGTAATTAAAGATGAATTAATGCAAGGGGGATGCAGCCGCAGGTCAGTCAAACCCTTAGGGCAGCATTGCCGATGCATCCACGTCCACGGCATCTGAAACTCCGCGAAAGAAACTTCGTTCCAGGTCATAGGCTGTATTGGGACAAAGGAAAAAGTGCCTAGAAAGTGAATTTCGTTCAACTACGCTGGTGCTACTTGTACTACGCCGGAGAAAGGAAAAAGTTGGACACTGAAACACTGATTATTAAAATTGACAGGATGGCATGAGTAGATATTTTTTTTAGTACTTACTATCAATAGAGCTGTTTTATGAGCTCAGCCAATACAGCCTACTTGTTTTAATTATGATTTTAACATCTTGTATAATTTTCCTTTTCACACTTTTTTCATTGTAAACTATATGAATGTTTAGTGTCTACTTTGTGGACCCCAGGAAGAGTAGTTGCTACTTAGGTAGTAGCTAATGAGGATCCAAATAAATAGAAATAAAAGACATAGAGCTCTGTTTGTAAGGTTATTACTGCTGAACCACCAAATCTTCAGACTGTCGACAGACTGACACGATCCAGCCTGAGGAAATGAGATCCTGAAGAACTGCATTATTATTATCCTACTGTACAATTTAATAAGGACAGTTACAATAGGGGTTACTTTAAGACAGTGTGGAAAGTCAATTAAACATGAAGCCTCCAAATAATGGGTCATCTGACAGTGAGGTTGGCCTACTGCCACGGTAGTCCCTCCTTGTGGAGCTTTAAAGAAGCAGAGGGACAGAGCTGCAGCTCAGTTTGGGGGGCTCACAGTTGAACTGCAGCAGGTGCCTCACCTAGGTGCTCCACATGCTGAGGAGTCATGGTCATCCTGGATGATGTTTCAAAGCTGCTCTGTTGATGGTACATTTCTGTAGATTCCTTTTTGAATTGCTTACTTAGCAGGATAACATTTGTTAAAAGTGTGTACACAGTCTAAAGCAAACACAGCTCTAAATATCACATGTGGTTATCAGAATAACTTTGTAGAGTTATTTTTTCTTAAACAGGCTGATCATGTTAAATTTTACACAGGTTTCATATTTTGTGCTAACTGCCTATTTTGACACTCGAGGTTTAAAGTCTCTGTTTTTCATTATCATCATGTTTCTGTACACTCTGATCATTTTTTCAAACCTCTTGCTGATTGTGGTGATCTGTATGCACAGGAGTTTTCATAAGCCAATGTACATATTCCTCTGCAGCCTGTTTATGAATGAGCTGTTTGGCAGTACCGGACTGTTCCCTTTTCTGCTGGTTCAGGTTCTCTCTGAAAGCCACTCTGTATCTTTTCCTTTTTGCTTCCTGCAGATTTTCTGTGTCTATTCTTATGTGTGTATAGAATATTTAAACTTAGCCATCATGGCTTATGACAGGTATCTTGCTATCTGTTGCCCTCTCCAGTATAACACACGTATGACAAATCAAAAGGTGGCTATGCTTATTAGTGCAGCATGGTTAGTCCCTTTTCTTGCCATTGTCATTGTGATATCTTTGAGTGCCCCGCTGCAGCTGTGTGGGAACACCCTCACTAAAGTCTTCTGTGGGAACTATGCCATTGTTAAACTGGCATGCTTTGATACCAGGGTCAATAACATTTATGGACTTATTTATACTGTAGTCTCTATCATTATTCCTCTCATTTTAATTCTGTACACGTACATGAAGATTTTAAAAGTTTGTTATTCCGGTTCCTATCAGACCAGACAGAAAGCTGTCAGCACCTGCACACCTCACCTGGCCTCTCTGATAAACTTCTCTTTTGGGGTATGTTTTCAGGTGTTACACAGCAGATTAGATGTGAGCTTACCAAATTTATTAGATATTCTACTATCAGTATACTTTCTAACATGCCAGCCTCTCTTTAATCCTCTACTTTATGGACTGAAACTACCCAAAATATTTAATTTCTGTAAACGTCTGCTGTGTTGTGAGGTGTAGGTCACTCAACAGAAAACTGCAGTTCAGTTTACAGACATTTGAAAAATATCTGTCTCCTCCATCAAATCTGGTGTCAAAATAAAATATCTTCAACTAACTGTGTGGAAAAGAAGAAAATAAAAACAAGTCATCCGTGGCAAGTTGAGAGTCTTCCCCTGTTTTTTTATGTGTGTGAGCGTGCAGGTGTTGTATGTGTTGAATGTAGGTTGGGAGGGTGGGTGGGGTTCTGTATTTTTATTTTTATCCTGCTTGAATGGACAGCGCTTTGTGCCACATTTTTTTGTATGAAAAGTGCTTTATAATCAAAGTTTAATTGATTGATTGATTGATTGATTGAAGTTTTCAGCAGATTAATTCTCAAACACGTCAGCGAGGACATCAGTTAAACAGTTGGATTTCTGCCTCTTTCTCACTGTGCTCTAACAGACAAAGATTTCTATCCACCTTATAAAGTTTGCTTTTAATGAAATAAGACCAGAGTTATAGAAAACACAAGTTTCAATGTGTATCAATTTATGAAACATCAACATATAGAATGAAAAGATTAAACAAAACTTCAGATATTGACTCTATTAAGGGTTTTTGAGATCTGTTATTCATGAAGATGTTTCTAAAAGTGTCTCAGTAGGGTTCCTTAGAGAATAATTACACTACAAGCATTAATAACACTGATCACCGTGTTCAACACTGCTGTGTCAACAACATCCCCTGCTTGGATCTGCAGGGAAATATTCACAACTCCCAACTCACAAAACTCTCACTATCACATTTCTGCTTTTATGAGACACATCTCACCAAGTTCTTAGAGGAACAACCAAACAGGTAAAAAGTTCTTAGAGAAGAGGAACAAGCTCAAGCTCAACAGACTTGTTATCCAAATGTCCAATCAGAGACAGCTGTCCACAATTAAATCAGACAAAAAGTTCATTTTAAATCAACCATTAATAAACTCACAAACAAGTGAGTGTAATTTACCTTCAGCTTCCTATAAACATTAATGACAGAGCCATCACTCCAAACCAAACTGAGTCAGAGCAGACTCACAGTCAGTGTCATATAGAGTGGTATTTTTTTTATTATTTTCAAGAGTGTTCGATAATTGAAGCCTCAAGGGAATGTTGCGTGACTAATTTGGCTTAGGTGACACCTGGTGGACAGCAGGGGGGCTGCACCTGTCACTCAAAGTGACCACGCTGTAAATCTGTTATAGTTATACAGTACAGGCCAAAAGTTTGGAAACACCTTCTCATTCAATGCATTTTCTTTATTCTCATTACTATTTAAATTCTAGATTCTCAGTGAAGGCATCAAAACTATGAATGAACACATGTGGAATCATGTGCTTAAGAAAAAAGTGTGAAATAACTGAAAACATGTATTATATTTTAGATTCCTCAAAGTAGCCACCATTTGCTTTTTTTTAATAGCACTGCAAACTTTTGCTGTTCTCTCAATGAGCTTCATGAGGTAGTCACCTGAAATGGTTCTTACTTCACAGGTGTGCCTTGTCAGGGTTACTTCGTGACTGACAGAGTAAGTCACTAAGTACTTCTGTCATCAAGAGCAAAGGGTGGCTATTTTAAAGAAACTAGAATATAAAACATGTTTTCAGTTATGTCACACTTTTTTTAAAAGTACAAAATTCCACGTGTTCATTCATAGTTTTGATGCTTTTAGTGGTAATGTACAATGTAAATAGTCATATAAAAAATAAAGAAAAGACATTGAATGAGAAGGTGTGTCCAAACTTTTGGCCTGTACTGTATGTTGCTGTTAGAAGGTCAGGGCTGACGGAAGGCCTTTTTCAGAGCCAGTCTCAGGTGGATGGGTCAGAAATGGGAACAGTTTTCTGCACTTTTAAGCAACAGGATTTCACATCTTCTGTCTTGTGACCATCTGTGATGAAGTAGATCTCAAAAGCTTTAAATCTCCAGCAGCCCAGAGAAAAAGCATCCCCTGGCATCAGCTCTGAAAGGCCCCTTATCACGTGTGTGTGCGTGGGTGGGTGCATGCGTGCATGCACGTGTGTGTGAGTGAGTGTGAAAGACCACCTAGGATAAAGATCACCAGTGGGGAATCTCTTTTGCCACCTCATCAAGTCCTGTAAACAACATTGACAGTGCATTTATAATATACAACAAGAAAATAAATAACACCTGAGAATGAATTTATTTGATGCAAAATTTACTGGGTGTTTTAAGAGCTGGGATAGTTCTGCTGTATCCATGGTATTTCAGATATTTCTGTGGTAGACTGAGAAACACAGATAGAGCTGGTAACTATCACTCAAGAAAAAAGTTTTACCACATAAGTGCAGGTGCTGCTAGCTTGTTGAGACTGTGGAGAGATAGAAGTTTTCTGTTAGAAACCAAGGACAGGGCAAGAACATTGACAAATATGTCACAGATCTGAGTTTTGGCCAGCACAAACAACTTTGGTAATATTAAAGACTCATTAATTAATAAGAGACAGCATTGCTTGTGGTACACACACCTCTGCCATGAGAGAAAGACTGTTAGGGAAAGAAATCTTAACACTGGACAAATGTGTGCAGATACGCAAAGCGTCTGAGCTGTCAGTGGAAAACAGTCAAACATTGCAAGGAAAGACAGTGGAGGATGTTTTGTACATGCCATGAAGAAGATTCCAAGAAGAAAAATAAAGGATGGGATTTCCTGCAACTTTTGTGGAAACACACAAAAGAAAAATAAACTCAAATGTCGGGCCTTTGGAAAAAAAGTGCAAGACATGTAGAAAAGCGAACCATTTTGCAGCAAAATGCAGATTGAAACAAGAAAAAAAGACTGATTTACAGCGTTTCAGAGTCAAGTGATTCGTTTGAGGACATCATGACAATAAATGAGTTGTATGACAGCTGAGAGACGATTAACCAAGTGAAAGGCACACAGTAAGAGCCAGCAGCTTTTTGCAGGTATGTTGCTAGACAAGAAGCTAGTTAACCTCCAGATAGACTGTGGTGCTACTTGCAACATTAT